GGGCTCTAAAACCAGCTCTGAAAACAAAACGACAGCCAATGGCACCCACTGGCATCCATGATCTTACTGTGACTTTCTCTTCCACCCTAAGGATGTCAAATCAGGAACATGGAATTGGACAAGAAAGTCCAAAGTGTGAGAGGAAGCCAATAGAGTGACTTTAATATTCCCTTTTTGTTGGTCTTTCTTCCTCACTCAGTAAGGACAAGGTTGTCAGGTGGCCAAGGCACTCCAGATTCACAAAAATATTCAAGAAACACAAGATTAAGAAATACAAATAGCCTCCAAGTACATAAGACCTATTGCATATACATATACACCCTATGTAGCATTCACACCAAATATATATATATATATATATATGTGATAAATGACATCAATTTATATATCTGTACGTAATCCAATGAAAACGTTTTATACAGGAAATTGAGATAAATTGAATGTAACATTGTAATCACTATTCTGGTTTATTAAAATTGGAAAAAAAATTAGAAGCATGTGAACAATGAGGAAGAAAAGGTGTGGGAGAAACAAATGGCCTATTAGAAAGCAGGAGAAATCACCAGCTGAAGGAAAATATCAATGAGACAAAAGCATTCACTCTGTCCTCTCACCTGGAGCCTGATTCAGGCTCTGGACTGCAGGTAACATGAGTAAGAGAGAGTTTGTGTGAGCCAGTGGGGTGAGTCTTGTCTGGTGATGTGAGAATCCATAGAGAAGCAAAGGAGATTCCAGTGGAAAGAAATCAGTTTAAATAAATTATCACGGTACGTGTAAGGAACTGCGCATCTCCCGACAACCTCTGAGCGCCATCTATGTATCCTCTCTATGGACCCAGATGGTGCTCTTTACCTCAAATGACCACCCCTCCTCCTGAGGACAGGGGTCCTCTCATTCTTCAGCTGAGGACATCACCTGACAGTTGAGCAGCAGGCAGCTCCAGGGGCTCTAGGAGGTGATATTGACTGGGATGGAGAGTGAGAATAAACATGACCCAGGGTTTTAAGGAAATCTGAGCCCAAATGGATCCCTGTGAGCTGGAAAATGAGGACATGGCTGTGGACATGAGTGGAGATGATGAACTAAGTGGATTTTCATAAAAAAAAAAAAAAAAGAAAAGAAAAGAAAAAGGAGCTGGATATGTCATGAGACTGACTTGTGGACCCAGGATTTACACTGTTACTGAAAGTGCCTGATAGTGGAGATTTGGCTTCATGAGGGATGGGGAAGAAGAGGAAGAAAACTGTCAGAGGAGCATGTGTGAGAAATGAAGGGAAGAGGGGTCTCTAGAAAACAGAGCATCACAATTGCTCTACCTCAGAGAAGGCATAGTATATGAAGTCACTTTCTAAATGTATAGTTGGCAGAAAGACAAGTGGATTAGATAACAGCCATTTACAGGTTTATTCAGCAATTGTTATAGAATCAGGCCCTTTGGAAATTATAATAATACTCTCAACAATTATTACAGGTAGATACTATTTTTTAGATAGCTCTGATGAGGAAACAGAGCTTTACAACCCCAAAAGACAAACTCTTAGGCCAAAGTGAACAACCAGAAAATGCAAAACCAGGTACCTGAGAGCACATTTTGTCCTATGTCCCAGGCTCTTGCTCAGCTCACTGGGTTGGAGCATCATGGATTTCAACTTAAACCTGAGTGAGCATGGAGAGACCCCATTCCCTCCTACACCCATAGCACCATGACCACCGAGACCTGGATTAGACCTTCCTATTCCCCTTTTTTTTCCTACCTTGAGAGAGACATTGGGTCCCAGAATCAGCATTGGCTGTAAAGCTGCTGGTGGTAGAGGAAAGGCCCTGCCTGGCTAAGCCATTCCCACAGTCAAACCCTTGATCCAGCTGTAGTCTGAGACAATTGGGCACCAGGGTGCCTGGCTCCTGTTGTGTCTGTGAAGCCTGCACCTCTGACAGGTAGTAGCTCAAGTCTCCACTGCAAGTCCCTTGGGGACAGGTCTCCTGGGAGGGAGCTGAAAGGAGAAGGGGCTTTCAGTAGAAACAATCTCACTTTTCCCATTGTTAAATGCACCCAGAATACCCATCTTTGCTGCCTCTGCTTCTCACTCAAACCTTCCAGTGACCCAGGCGACACTGACAGACATCATGTAAATGCAGGCAATGTTGCCTTTCCTGTCTGTGCCTGGGGAAGCTGACACGGGCTGTGGTTCCAGGGCTAGGGTGTCCCTGAAGTGAAATAGTTGTGCAATACTGCCTGCATGTGTGGGTGGCCAGAGAAGAAATAGTGGCACTGTTGAAAGCATGTAGTTAGTAACATAATTTCAGAAAAGAGAGATTCCAGGTCATGAAAATGTAGGTTTCTAGGGCAAATATATCTAGATGAGCTACTGTGGGCAAGAATTTACTAAAAGCCCTTATCCCTTTCCAGCTTTCATGCCCATAGCCTGCTCTTGAAAGAAGGAACCAGATGACAGAGAAGTCACTTGGGATAGGAATAGAGGAAGTTTCACCCTATGTGATCAAAACTGGATCCCAGAGCGAGATTGAAAACAAGCTCAGTGTAGATGGCCTGCTTGCATTGACCGCCTGTCTCAGCAGCACAAGGTGCAGAAAGAAAACATGTGGAGGCTGCCTGGGAAGACACTGGGGTTTTGTGACCTTCAGGCTGGAGTACTCACAGGCTACATCCAGAGCAGAGCATGTGAGCTGATCATCCAATGTGGACAAGATGCCGCTATAAGGCTGGTGGCAGTCAGGCAGATCACGTTGAACTGAAGGAGTCAAGTAAAATTCATCCAAGGAGTCCTCTGGGACTTCCTGCTCCTTTACTTCTGGCAGCTCCTGGCTCAGCCTGGAGTAAAGAAGACAAAAGATAAACACTAAACAGGACCAAAGCCAGTGCATCCAGCTGGTTCCATAGGGAGGACCACAGGAGAGGCCAGAGGAAGCCAAGTACAGTCCCCTCAGAGAGACATAACTATCCTTCCCTGTCTCAAGCAGGAGACAGAGTGGCATGTACTCAGTGCACTGGGCAGACAATGAGCTAGGGAGGAAGGAGATGGAAGAATCCCTGTGGGAAATTGCCAGGACACAGTGCATTCAGCACTTCTGCATACATTTTGTTGAAACTAGCATCAGAGGCCAATTGAATACAGATTCTTGAATCTTCACAGAAAGAGTTCCTTTATCCTCAACATCACTGTTCTCAAAACTGTGAGCATGAAATGAGCTATTGCTATTTTTATTCCCTTTACTTGCATCAAATACTTGCAAACATGGTAACGCCAAAGAGGCAGACATGAGGTGAGATCAGAAAATCCCTGAACTTGGTCAGCTCACCTGGCTCAACTGATTGTAGGTTCCTATGCTTGAGAGGGATTAAGAAATTGAAACCTATTTAAGTACCACAATAAAGAAGACAACATTGTTAATGGGGTAAAATGCAGTGGAATGGATGGATGACATTGTTCTATTCATCACTTCCCATCTGATTTTCTCCTGGATCCCTGGTCTCCAGGTGTCACTATTGAGCTAACAGCCCACAAATCCACAGTTACCTGGGGGGCACTGGTGCTTTCCCTTCCTCTTTCTCATGATCCGTTTGATTTCCTGTAAAGAAATTCAGAAGAGCAGGTCACAGTAAGCAAATCCCACTTCACAAAAGACCAAATCAGTGTCCAGTCATAGCACAGAGACATCGATATCCTCAGTGTAAGAATGTGATATTCTGACAGGAAGATTCTAGTGTGGTCTAGATCAAGTGTTTTCAGAAGTAGATGAGCCTGCTTTCCAGACCCATGGGACAGAATTTCCCTCATCTAATAGATCTTATTCACATATCCTCTGACCTAACTCTGTGCAAACAATTAAATAAAACTTTTTCCCCATGATCTTCAAAAATGGCCCTAACTATTCTTCAGAAGTGTTGCTGCAATACTGATTTATCTCACTATATATTCAGGTTGATGAATTCTTAGAGAAATTTATATGTCTCCTGGTAGCAGGGTGTCTGCCTAGCTAAGACAAGCTGACTCAAAGGAGACCAAGACTGAGGCTGAGAAGAATGACATCAGGGAAACAACATCTTTAGATGAGTAGGCAAGGCTGTCTTCGACAGTGGCCTTGGACAAGCATAGAAACTCCATGGACATTGTGCAAGGGCACAAATTCCATCATTACAGGTGACAAGAGACATAGGAGCCGAGCTAGGCAGCATGACAGATTACTTCTGTACACCTTCTGTACACAGGTGGCTATGAAGTTGTCCCACCTGTCTATGGTCCACTTACCTGATATTGGGGCCAGAGAGAATTGGAAAGCTATCTGACCCTCTTGTATTTATATTAAATATTCCATCCTAGTCCCCCTTCCTTCCTCTCTCCTTCTCTCCCTCCTTTTCTCCTTCACTTCCTTCCTTCCCTCCCCTCTTCCCCTTCCTACTTCCTTCCTTCTTTCCTTCCTTCCTCCCTCCCTCCCTCTTTTCCTTCCTTCCTTCCTTCCTTCTTTCGTTCCTTCCTTGCTCCCTCCCTCCCTCTCTTCCTTCCTTCCTTCCTTCCTTCCTTCCTTCCTTCCTTCTTTCCTTCCTTCTTTTCTTCTTTCCTTCTTTTACTTTTGAGACAGGGTCTCTCTCTCTGTCACCCAGGGTGGAGTGCAGTGGTGCAATCATGACTCACTGCAGCATCAACTTTCTGTGCACACATGGTTCTCCTACCTCAGCCTCCAGAGTAGTTGGGACTACAGATGTGAACCACGTTGCCTGGGTAATTTTTTTATATTCGTTGTAAAGATGGATTTCATCACATTTCTCAAGCTCATCTTGAATTATTGAACTTAGGTAATCCACCCACCTGGGCCTCCCAAATGTTGAAATTACAGATGTGAGCCACTGCCCCCAGCTACATCCTAGTTTCCAATTCAAATCAATAGCCTGTCCTCAGAATTGATTTGTATACAGCCTGTCCTCAGAAATGATCTTCCTTAGCCTAGACAGAGGTATGAGGGACAAAGAATATAGAGGCTACCTGGGAGAATGTTTGAAGTTTCCTCTTCTTCATCCTGAGAGCATTCACTGTCTACAACCAGAGCAGGGTCGACTTTGTCTCCCTCAAATGTGACTGTGGCGCTCCTGTGAGGCTGGTTGGAGTCAGAAGTTCCACGGCTGTTTGGACGAGGGACAGCACATTCCTCCAGTGAGTCCTGATGGACTTCCTTTTCCTCAGCCTTCTGCACCCCTCTGATGAGCCAGGTAGGATAGAGATGGCAAAGATTAAACCAAGAGCGATTGGACCCCAGGAGTTCCCAGCCGGTTGTGACGGGAGGCATAAGGCAGTGGTCCCAGAAAGCAAAGGGGAGGTTCCATTTAAGACAGAACAGGAAATCCTCCTCTATCTGCAACAGAGCATGGCTGCCTTGGGAACCAGAGAGGAAGAGAGCAGCTGATGTTCATTGTACTGGACAGGCAGGAGCTAAGGAAGGCAGAGGATCAGCTGCCTCTGTATGGTACAGTCTTCACAGCACTCAAACAGAACCAAAAACAGCTGCCACACCGTGTGTCTCAGCTGGGTTGTATTTAACATGCTGTGGCCAAGGGAATACAGGTTGTCTGAGCCTCGGTAGACTCCGGAGATGGTGTGCCTTGTAGATTTTTTTTTTTTTTTTTTTTAATTTTAACACTGTGATGTGAAATGTAAAGTTTTCCTGGGCACTTTTCTTGGTGTTTAACTTTGGTAAGTGCTTCCTAATTCCTCTGCTTGTTGTCTCTTTGTTACTTATCTTCCCTAACAAGAGTCTAAGGACAACCATGTGGAGAGTGGCTTTCCATCTCGCCCTGGCTTCACTACAAGGGAGAACAGGTCTCCTCTGCATGTGCAGGAAGTCCCTAGGGCTAGTGAGGATATCGAGGGTCATGCTTACAGGTACCAAAAACATAATGGACAAGCATGTTAACAGGGCTATTTCCTTGCTGGAAATCAGTGCACTCTGCAGCTGTCTGTATCCTGCATCTACAATCTGTGCCTACCTTCACCCACCTGTGTTCTTTCTGAGATCTTTTCCATATTTTCCCACCCATTACCTGCTCCTGATTATTCAGTGTTACCTGGGGGCAGGTGATTCCTGTACTTTCTCGACCTCCTCATCTGTAACACCTTCATCTTCATCTTCATCACTTTCTACAAATACAGAAGCATCTATTCAGATATTTCCCACTTAACCCACTGGAAGCACAGTCAGCCCTATGTGCACTGAGACATGAACATCCATGTATGGGTCTGCATTGTACTGAAAACTCTCCTGTTTATCTCTACAACATGCCCTGGCATGTTCTCCTGATTTATGAGGGAATGTGTTGCTGACCTGGAGGGTCACCATCAAGATGTGGCCAAATATTGAAAAGACTTCTTGCTCCCCATATTACTGGAGGCTTGTCCAGCCTCTCTCTAAGCTTCAGCGGCTGTCTCCTCAATCCCGCCACTGTTCTGATACCCAGGCACAGGCTCTGTGTCCTGTCACAGCTTACATTACAACCTGTATCTTTCTCTTAGGACAGTACAAACAAACTTGTGCCACAATACTCTGGGGACTTCATGTCCCACTTACATCGGGGACTTCATGGGTTCTCCAAGTGACTTCCACTGTGCTACCCAGGGACACTCTCTCCATGGGGAGTGCTCCAGTCTAGACCACTTCCTACCACCAAATGCCCCCACATCAGGTGCCTTCTCCAACACCACACTGCAAGGGGCTTTATCTCATCATGAAATATAGTCGTAAGTGTTCCCTCATTTGAATGCAAGAGACAATTTGTCTGCCTTTACAGATTTAGAGACAGGAACTCAGGAAGGATAAATTAATCAGTTCCTCACAGTTGCTAAAGACATTGCTGAAGACAGAGCCTGGGAACCTTCATTCTTAGTCCAGGGCTCTTTTTACTTTAACAAGCTGCCTCCTGTCACAGCCTCCTTCCTGTCCTTTAAAACTGGACAGATGCTGCCTCTTGCCCCGAAGACCATGTTCCAGCAAGACACGAGGGGACATTTGCAATCCTGTGACCTGCAACCCCATGGATTACCCATTTCTGGTTTTGCCCAGGAAGTCCTGGCCATGTCATGGATACAAATTCTTAGTGGAAAGCAAGCCTACCCATGAAAGTGTCGTTGTAGAGGTGTGGAGGTCTGGAGACTTTTATAAGCCTGGGGCTGTTTGTCATCAGGGCCTGTGTCCACTTTACCTGGGCTGAGCTTGTTGACAAGACGCTCTGCCAGCCTGTGCCCCTCAGCCAGCTGCACCTGGAGGTGCTGATCCTGGGGCTTGTCAGGGTCACCAGGAGTGAGGAGGGCCTTCAGATGCTGATACAGTGAGCGGGAGGCATCTCTCCCTTCCCGTAACTTCTCCCGTAACTGGGTCAGCTCTTTTGCCTGAGAGTGGACCAGGGCTTTATATTGCCTATGGTGAGATAACAGAGAATGTTTAATAACGGAAAGTGATGAGTGATCAGTTCTAATACTGCAACGGAGGTTTATGTGAGAATGTCCTCAAGGAGCCCTCCAAGCAGAAGGTCAAAACACGTTTGGGGAAATGCCTGTGTCCAACATATACGTACATATATATATATATATATATATATATATATATATATATATATGTATGACAGGGCATGGTGGCTCACGCCTTTAATCCTAGCACTTTGGGAGGCTGAGGCAAGCACATTACCTGAGGTCAGGAGTTCAAACCCAGCCTAACCAACATGGTGAAACTCTGTCTCTACTAAAAACACAAAAATTAGCCAGGCATGATGGTGCATGCCTGCAGTCCCAGCTACTCGGGAGGCTGAGACATGAGAATTGCTTGAATCCTGGAAGCAGAGGTTGCAGTTAGCTGAGATTGTGTGACTACACTACCGCCTGGGTGACACAAATGAGATATACATATATATATATATATCTTGACGGAGTCTCATTTCTGTCACCACATGTGTATATATATATATATATATATATATATACACACACACACACACACACACACATATATATATATATATATATATATATATATATATATATATATAAAATACATACATGCTGTATTTATATATACAAAGGCTTCCTCTGTATCAGAGAGGGCTCCAGTAAGATCCTCTATGGTTTTAGCTTCATTTATTTCTTCTGTAAACAAAAGTCATTGTCTTCTTAAGTCAGTTTCAAGTGGGTGCCCTTTTAGCTCCCAACTTTGGCCATGGACATTTCTATGTGAAAATTCACACAGTGCATCTTGCAGTGACAGGAAACAGAGCTGTGCACAGAAATGTGGTCAGGTGCAGATGGGGTGATTTAGAAAGATGAAAGAAGAAAGGAATGGCAGGTCAAGAAGGCAATATTGACTGAACGAATGACTTGCTGCAGTCATTCAGGAGGTGACTCTGACTAAGAGTAAATGGGCAGTGATCATACACCATTTTGAGTGTATTAAATGCTGCTGGGTTTTTCATTTTCTTTTAATGAATTTTGGATATACAAATTTTAACTCAAAAATTAGCTGCTTTAAGAAGAGAAAACAAAGCTCAAGAAACAACTGCAACCCATAACTTGCTAAGATTACTGTTCTGTTTTATGATTGTTTGTGTGAAATGTGCCTTCCATGGAAATGCCTGCTCTTGTCCTGGCCCAGCTTAGCTCCTGCTTCTCCCAGCTGAACTGCTGCACTTCAGAGATCACACCCCTGCCCACCTGCCTGTACCCACAGCATCTGCTCACCTGAGATCCTCAGCTTGCCTGAGCTTCTCTGCCAGCTTCTCCTCTATGAACTGCACTTCATCCCTCAGCACAGAGTCTATGATGCCTTTGTCCTCTTCACATTCTGAGAAGAGACAGTCATGCCTGCCTCAGTGGAAGGCTGGACATGCTGGTGTGGTCGCTGCCGGCAGGGCAGGTGGCAGTGTCTATCTCAAGGACAAAAGCATTCCCAGTACCAGATTGTAGTGAGGGATTTTTTTTTTCATTTTTTATTAACCACCTCCCAAATTGCTGGCATCTGACACTCTCCAACTTAGAGATGGGAAAAAAGAAACCATTGACATATCAAGTAACTTGGCAGGATGATTCACCTGGCATGAGGCAGTCAGAATTCTTAGCACCCAAGGTCTGCCTCTGAGTCCTAGGACACTTTCCCATGCCATGCAGCCTCTCCTGTCAAACACTCTATTAGGGCATGAGGTAGTGATATCTTGTATATTAGAAAAGGCCTTTAGGATTATGGGACTCATGGATTCTCTTGTACTGGGAATTTCAAGCACATATATGTCAAAGATTTAAAAAATCATATCTGAATATAATTGTATAAAATATGAAGCATCATACTATATGATGTATAAAATATGAGACTTTGAGGTCATCATAGATATATGACCAATACTAATAAAATTTGAATTAAGTTAGAAACAGTAGGATGAAGATCTAATAGATAGTGTTTACTCTGTGCCAAGAATTCTTCTAGGAGATTTAGAAAAACACGTCCTTTAATTCATTGCATCAATATACAGAGGTAGGTATTATTATAATACCCAATAAACAGATGAGGAAACTGAGGCACAGAGAAGATAGGCTACTTGGATGGAGCCCAGGAGAGTGGACCAGGTTCCCTGCTCTGCACATGGCAGTGCTACCGCCCCAATGTCTTACGTGCTGTCTTTCTTTCTCCTTAGAGAAAGAGCCTGTGCCCCAGGAAGCAGGACTCCCCTCTCCCCAGTGTACTCCCTGCTCTTCATGCTGTTACTTACAGATGCCGGAGTTACTACTGAGAGCAGTCTCCTCTTTAAGCTCCTTAGAGGAGGTGCTCTCTACTGTTGCCACGTTTCCTTCGGGGTTCCCTGAAGAGAGATTTGCCTATTGGGCCTCAAAGAATCTTAAACGGAATGGCAGTTCATTAGCTCCAGGCATTTAGACCAACAGACTAGATGTTATTTGTCTGCAGAATCGTGTAGGGTACAGAGAGCATTCTCGAAAACATGATTGCGCATCTTGCTGAGAACAGCAAGTGGTTCTGTGCCTGTGTCAGAGGTCAGTAAGCAAGAATTTAACTCTAGTCCCACCTCACATTGGACTGCTAATGTGGAAAAGTTGCTAAATACGTTGTGCCTCTGTTTTCCATCCTTAACACAATGAAGTGCAAATACCCATTTCTGTTTGACTAGAACTAAAGAAAGGATGAAATTAATTTTGATGAAGAGACTGTTCAGTATCTCACGGAGAAGACAGGTGCTGATTCATCACTTTTGTGATGGTGAATCTATAGAACTTACTGTATGTGTGGAGTTGCTTGGCCAGAGAGTAGGCAGTAGCTTGAGTAATAAGAAATTTTTCCTGGAGCTCTTCAAACTGCAGTTGGCTCTCTGCCAGCTGGAAGTGCAATTCCTCGTTAGTTTCTTGGATTTCCTTCTCTGCCCTGTCATGGGACAAATGTGCAGCAGTTACCAAAATGCTGGTGTTTGTGGCAGGAGAATTCAAACAGGGACTGGGGAGAAGAAACCCAAGCACATGATGGATCAAAAACTAGTGAAATCAGCTGGTTTAATAAGGACTGAGGGATGACAACAGCTGGAATTGTTGACTTAGTGTTGTGAAGAACTTATTCAACACCCCACAGTACTTCAGAATCCTTAAAAGCAACCAAAGTGTTTAGGATGCCTGAGCATCCTAAACAGTCTGTATGGAGATGACTCTGACTAGGAGTAAATGGGCGGTGATCACACATCATTTTGAGCATATTAAATGCTGCTGGGTGGTTCATATTCTTTTAATGAATTTTGGATATGCAAATTTCAACTCAACAAGTAGCTGTTTTAAGAAGAGAAAACAAAGCTCAAGAAACAATTGCATCCCATAGCTTGCTAAGATTACTGTTCTGTTTTATGAGTGTTTGTGTGAAATGTGCCTGCCATGGAAATGCCTGCCCTTGTCCTGGCCCAGCTTAGCTCCTGCTTCTCCCAGCTGAACTGCTGCACTTCAGAGATCACACCCCTGCCCACCTGCCTGTCCCCACAGCGTCTGCTCACCTGAGCTCCTCTGCTTACCTGAGCTTCTCTGCCAGCTTCTCCTCTATGAACTGCACTTGATCTCTCAGCACAGAGTCTATGATGTCTTTGTCCTCTTCACACTCTGAGAAGAGACAGTCATGCCTGCCTCAGTGGAAGGCTGGACATGCTGGTGTGGTCACTGCTGGCAGGGCAGGTGACAGTATCTATCCCAAGGAAAATAGCATCCCCAGTACCAGATTGTAGTGAGGGATGTTTTCATTTTTTCTTATCAACCTCCCAACTTGGTGGCATCTGACACTCTCCTACGTAGTGATGGAGAAAAAGAAACTCATTGACCCATCAAGTAACTCGACAGAATGATTCACCTGGAATGAGGCAGAGTCAGAATTCATAGGCCCCAAGGTCTGGCTCTGCATCCTAGGACACTGGCTCTGCATCCTAGGACACTTTCCCAAGCCATGCAAACTTTCCTGTCAGACACTCTACTAGGGCATGAAGTAATGATATCTTGCATAGTAGGAAAAGCCCTTCAGTCTATGGGACTCATGGATTCCCTGGTGGAAAACTTGCTAAATACATTGTGCCTCTGTTTTCCATCCTTAACACAATGAAGTGAAAATACCCATTTCTGATTTCCTAGAGCTAAGGAAAGGATCAAATTAATTTAGATGAAGAGACTGTTCAGTATCTCAGGGAGAAGACCGGTGCTGATTCATCACTTTCATGATGGTGAATCCACAGAACTTACTGTATGTGTTGAGTTGCTTGGCCAGAGAGTAGGCAGTAGCTTGACTTATAAGAAATTTCTCCTGGAGCTCTTCAAACTGCAGTTGGCTCTCTGCCAGCTGGAAATGCAAATCCTCATTGATTTCTTTGATTTCCATCTCTGCCCTGTCATGGGACAAATGTGTAGCAGTTACCACCATTCTGGTGTTTGTGGCAGGGGAATTCAAACAGGGACTGGGGAGAAGAAACCCAAGCACATGATGGATCAAAAACTAGTGAAATCAGCTAGGTTTAATCAGCACTGAGGGATGACAACAGCTGGAATTGTTGACTTAGCGTTGTGAAGAACTTAATCAACACCCCACAGCACTTCAGAATCCTTAGCAGCTACAACAGCAGTTAGGAAGCCTGAGCTTTGTAAACAGTCAGTCCAGAGGTCACTCTGACTAAGAGTAAATGGGCGGAGACCACACATCATTTTGAACGTATTAAATGCTGCTGGGTGGTTCATATTCTTTGAATAAATTTTGGATTTTCAGATTTCAACTCAACAATTAGTTGTTTTAAGAAGAGAAAACAAAGCTCAAGAAACAACAGCAGCCCATAACTTGCTAAGATTACTGTTCTGTTTTATGAGTGTTTGTGTGAAATGTACCTGCCATGGAAATGCCTGCCCTTGTCCTGGCCCAGCTTAGCTCCTGCTTCTCCCAGCTGAACTGCTGCACTTCAGAGATCACACCCCTGCCCCCCTGCCTGTCCCCACAGCGTCTGCTCACCTGAGCTCCTCCGCTTACCTGAGCTTCTCTGCCAGCTTCTCCTCTATGAACTGCACTTGATCCCTCAGCACAGAGTCTATGATGTCTTTGTCCTCTTCACACTCTGAGAAGAGACAGTCATCCATGACTCAGTGAAAGGCTGGACATGCTGGTGTGGTCACTGCCTGCAGGGCAGGTGGCAGTGTCTATTTCAAGGACAAAAGCATGCCCAGTACCAGATTGTAGTGAGGGATGTTTTCATTATTTTCTTATCAACCTCCCAACTTGCTGGCATCTGACACTCTCCAACGTAGTGATGAGGAAAAAGAAACTCATTGACACATCAAGTATCTTGACTGAATGATTCACCTGGACTGAGGCAGAGTCAGAATTCATAGGCCCCAAGGTCTGGCTCTGCATCCTAGGACACTTTCCCAAGCCGTGCAACCTCTCCTGTCAGACACTCTACTAGGGCATGAAGTAGTGATATCCTGTACAGTAGGAAAAGCCCTTCAGTCTATGGGACTCATGGACTCCCTGGTGGAAAAGTTGCTAAATACGTTGTGCCTGTTTTCCATCCTTAACACAATGAAGTGAAAATACTCATTTCTGTTTTCCTAGAGCTAAGGAAAGGATCAAATTAATTTTGATGAAGAGACTGTTCAGTATCTCAGGGAGAAGACACGTGCTGATTCATCACTTTCACGATGGTGAATCCATAGAACTTACTGTATATGTTGAGTTGCTTGGCCAGAGAGTAGGCAGTAGCTTGAGTTATAAGAAATTTTTCCTGGAGCTCTTCAAACTGCAGTTGGCTCTCTGCTAGCTGGAAGTGCAAATCCTCGTTGATTTCTTTGATTTCCATCTCTGCCCTGTCATGGGACAAATGTGTAGCAGTTACCACCATGCTGATATTTGTGGCAGGAGAATTCAAACAGGGACTGTGGAGAAGAAACCCAAGCACATGATGCATCAAAAACTAGTGAAATCAGCTAGGTTTAATCAGGCCTGAGGGATGACAACAGCTGGAATTGTTGACTTAGTGTTGTGAAGAACTTAATCAACACCCCACAGCACTTCAGAATCCTTAACAGAAACAACAGCAGTTAGGATGCCTGAGCTTTGTAAACAGTCAGTCCAGAGGTCACTCTGACTAAGAGTAAATGGGCGGAGACCACACATCATTTTGAACGTATTAAATGCTGCTGGGTGGTTCATATTCTTTGAATAAATTTTGGATTTTCAGATTTCAACTCAACAATTAGTTGTTTTAAGAAGAGAAAACCAAGCTCAAGAAACAACAGCAGCCCATAACTTGCTAAGATTACTGTTCTGTTTTATGAGTGTTTGTGTGAAATGTGCCTGCCATGGAAATGCCTGCCCTTGTCCTGGCCCAGCTTAGCTCCTGCTTCTCCCAGCTGAACTGCTGCACTTCAGAGATCACACCCCTGCCCCCCTGCCTGTCCCCACAGCGTCTGCTCACCTGAGCTCCTCCGCTTACCTGAGCTTCTCTGCCAGCTTCTCCTCTATGAACTGCACTTGATCTCTCAGCACAGAGTCTATGATGTCTTTGTCCTCTTCACACTCTGAGAAGAGACAGTCATCCATGACTCAGTGAAAGGCTGGACATGCTGGTGTGGTCACTGCCTGCAGGGCAGGTGGCAGTGTCTATTTCAAGGACAAAAGCATGCCCAGTACCAGATTGTAGTGAGGGATGTTTTCATTATTTTCTTATCAACCTCCCAACTTGGTGGCATCTGACACTCTCCAACGTAGTGATGAGGAAAAAGAAACTCATTGACACATCAAGTAACTTGACTGAATGATTCACCTGGACTGAGGCAGAGTCAGAATTCATAGGCCCCAAGGTCTGGCTCTGCATCCTAGGACACTTTCCCAAGCCGTGCAACCTCTCCTGTCAGACACTCTACTAGGACATGAAGTAGTGATATCTTGTACAGTAGGAAAAGCCCTTCAGTCTATGGGACTCATGGACTCCCTGGTGGAAAAGTTGCTAAATACGTTGTGCCTTTGTTTTCCATCCTTAACACAATGAAGTGAAAATACTCATTTCTGTTTTCCTAGAGCTAAGGAAAGGATCAAATTAATTTTGATGAAGAGACTGTTCAGTATCTCAGGGAGAAGACAGGTGCTGATTCATCACTTTCACGATGGTGAATCCATAGAACTTACTGTATGTGTTGAGTTGCTTGGCCAGAGAGTAGGCAGTAGCTTGAGTAATAAGAAATTTTTCCTGGAGCTCTTCAAACTGCAGTTGGCTCTCTGCCAGCTGGAAGTGCAAATCCTCGTTGATTTCTTTGATTTCCATCTCTGCCCTGTCATGGGACAAATGTGTAGCAGTTACCACCATGCTGATATTTGTGGCAGGAGAATTCAAACAGGGACTGTGGAGAAGAAACCCAAGCACATGATGCATCAAAAACTAGTGAAATCAGCTAGGTTTAATCAGGCCTGAGGGATGACAACAGCTGGAATTGTTGACTTAGCGTTGTGAAGAACTTAATCAACACCCCACAGCACTTCAGAATCCTTAACAACAACAACCGCGGTTAGGATGCCTGAGCTTCCTAAACAGTCAGTCCGGAGGTCACTCTGACTAAGAGTAAATGGGCGGTGACCACAAATCATTTTGAACGTATTAAATGCCGCTTGGTTGTTCATTTTCTTTGAATGAATTTTGGATTTTCAGATTTCAACTCAACAATTAGTTGTTTTAAGAAGAGAAAACCAAGCTCAAGAAACAACAGCAGCCCATAACTTGCTAAGATTACTGTTCTGTTTTATGAGTGTTTGTGTGAAATGTGCCTGCCATGGAAATGCCTGCCCTTGTCCTGGCCCAGCTTAGCTCCTGCTTCTCCCAGCTGAACTGCTTCACTTCAGAGATCACACCCCTGCCCACCTGCCTGAGCCCACAGGGTCTGTTCACCTGAGCTCCTCTGCTTACCTGAGCTTCTCTGCCAGTTTCTCTTCTATGTACTGCACTTGATCCCTCAGCACAGAGTCTATGATGTCTTTGTCCTCTTCACACTCTGAGAAGAGACAGTCATGCATGTCTCAGTGGAAGGCTGGACATGCTGGTGTGGTCACTGCCGGCAGGGCAGGTGACAGTGTCTATCCCAAGGACAAAAGCATCCCCAGTACCAGATTGTAGTGAGGGATGTTTTCATATTTTCTTATCAACCTCCCAACTTGGTGGCATCTGACACTCTCCAACATAGTGATGAGGAAAAAGAAACTCATTGACACATCAAGTAACTCGACAGAATGATTTATCTGGAATGAGGCAGAGTCAGAATTCATAGGCCCCAAGGTCTGGCTCTGCATCCTAGGACACTTTCCCAAGCCATGCAACCTCTTCTGTCAGACACTCTACTAGGGCATGAAGTAGTGATATCTAGTATAGTAGGAAAAGCCCTTCAGTCTATGGGACTCATGGATTCCCTGGTGGAAAAGTTGCTAAATACGTTGTGCCTCTGTTTTCCATCCTTAACACAATGAAGTGAAAATACCCATTTCTGTTTTCCTAGAGCTAAGGAAAGGATCAAATTAATTTTGATGAAGAGACTGTTCAGTATCTCAGGGAGAATACAGGTGCTGCTTCATCACTTTCATGATGGTGAATCCATAGAACTTACTGTATGTGTTGAGTTGCTTGGCCAGAGAGTATGCAGTAGCTTGACTTATAAGAAATTTCTCCTGGAGCTCTTCAAACTGCAGTTGGCTCTCTGCCAGCTGGAAATGCAAATCCTCATTGATTTCTTTGATTTCCATCTCTGCCCTGTCATGGGACAAATGTATAGCAGTTACCACCATGCTGGTGTTTGTGGCAGGGGAATTCAAACAGGGACTGGGGAGAAGAAACCCAAGCACATGATGGATCAAAAACTAGTGAAATCAGCTAGGTTTAGTCTGGACTGAGGGATTACAACAGCTGGAATTGTTGACTTAGCGTTGTGAAGAACTTAATCAACATCCCACAGCACTTCAGAATCCTTAACAGCAACAACCGCGGTTAGGATGCCTTAGCTTCGTAAACAGTTAGTCCGGAGGTCACTCTGACTAAGAGTAAATGGGCAGTGATCACACATCATTTTGAGTGTATTAAATGCTTCTGGGTGGTTCGTTTTCTTTTAATGAATTTTGGATATGCACATTTCAAGTCACCAACTAGTTGTTTTAAGAAGAAAAAACAAAGCTCAAGAAACAATTGCAACCGGTAACTTGCTAAGATTACTGTTCTGTTTTATGAGTGTTTGTGTGAAATGTGCCTGCCATGGAAATGCCTGCCCTTGTCCTGGCCCAGCTTAGCTCCTGCTTCTTCCAGCTGAACTACTGCACTTCAGAGATCACACCCCTGCCCACCTGTCTGTCCCCACATTGTCTGCTCACCTGAGCTCCTCCGCTTACCTGATCTTCTCTGCCAGCTTCTCCTCTATGAACTGCACTTGATCCCTCAGCACAGAGTCTATGATGTCTTTGTCCTCTTCACACTCTGAGAAGAGACAGTCATACCTGCCTCAGTGGAAGGCTGGACATGCTGGTGTGGTCACTGCCTGCGGGCAGGTGGCAGTTGTCTATCCCAAGGACAAAAGCATCCCCAGTACCAGATGGTAGTGAGGGATTTTTTTTCATTTTTCATTATCCACCTCCCAAAATGCTGGCATCTGACACTCTCCAACTTAGAGATGAGGAAAAAAAAACTCATGGACACATCAAGTAACTTGACTGAATGATTCACCTGGAATGAGGCAGAGTCAGAATTCATAGCCCCCAATGTCTGGCTCTGAATCCTGGGACACTTTCCCAAGCTGTGCAGCCTCTCCTGTCAAACACTCTACTAGGGCATGAGGTAGTGATATCTTGCATAATAGTAAAGGCCCTTAGGATTATGGGACTCATGGATTCACTTGTGCTGGGATATTCAAGCACATATATGTCAAAGATTTAAAAAATTATATCTGAATATAATTGTATAAAATATGAGGCGTAAGACCTTGAGGTCATGATAGATATATGACTAAATACTAATAAAATTTGAATTAAGTTAGAAACAGTAGGATGAAGAACTAATAGTGTTTAATCTGTGCCAAGAATTCTTCTAGGAGATTTAGAGAAACAGGTCCTTTAATTCATTGCAGCAATAAACAAAAGTAGGTATTATTATAATACCCAATGAACAGATGAGGAAACTGAGGCACAGAGAAGATAGGCTACTTGGATGGAGCCCAGGAGACTTGCCCAGGCTCCCTGCTCTGCACACAGCACTGCTACCCCTCCAAGGTCTTCTGTGCTGTCTTTTTTCCTCCTTAGAGAAAGAGCCTGTGCCCCAGGAAGCAGGACTCCCCTCTCCCCAGTGTGCTCCCTGCTCTTCATGTTATTACTTATGGATGTCACTGTTACTATTGAGAGCAGTCTACTCTTTAAGCTCCTTAGAGGAGGTGCTCTCTACTGTTGCCACGTTTCCTCCGGGGTTCCCTGAAGAGAGATTTGCCTATTGGGCCTCAAAGAAGCTTAAACAGAATGGCAGTTCATTAGCTTCAGGCATTAGGCCAACTGACTAGATGTTATTTGTCTGCAGGATCTTCTCAGGTACAGAGAGCATTCTCGTAAACATGATTGCACATCTTGCTGAGAATAGCAAGTGGTTCTGTGCCTGTGTCAGAGGTCAGTAAGCAGGATTTTATCTCTAGTCCCACCTCACATCAGTCTGTTACCATGGAAAAGTTGCTAAATACGTTGTGCCTCTGTTTTCCATCCTTAACACAATGAAGTGAAATACCCATTTCTGTTTTCCTATAACTAAGGAAAGGATGAAATTAATTTTGATTAAGAGACTGTTCAGTATCTCAGGGAGAGGTCAGGTGCTGATTCATCACTTTCATGATGGTGAATCCATAGAACTTACTGTATGTGTTGAGTTGCTTGGCCAGAGAGTAGGCAGTAGCTTGACTTATAAAAAATTTCTCCTTGAGCTCTTCAAACTGCTGTTGGGTCTCTACCAGCTGGAAGTGCAAATCCTCATTGATTTCTTGGATTTCCATCTCTGCCCTGTCATGGGACAAATGTCCGGCAGTTACCGCCATGCTGATGTTTGTGGCAGGAGAATTCAAACAGGGACTGGGGAGAAGAAACCCAAGCACATAATGGATCAAAAACTAGTGAAATCAACCCGGTTTAGTCAGGACTGAGGGATGACAACAGCTGGAATTGTTGACTTACGGTTGCGAAGAACTTAATCAACACCCCACAGCACTTTAGAATTATTAACAGCAAAAACCGCGTTTAGGATGCCTGAGCTCAGAGCCAAAGGCACTGCCTGTAGCTCTGCCTCTATCAAGAGTGAGGGAGGTCAGAGCTAGTGTGCCAGGTTACCGTGTGCAGTTGCCATAACAGAATTACAAGGTGGGGGTGTCATGGAATCTTAGGAGCCCTGCATTCCAATTTCCCTGGCTGTGCTGAAACCCAAGGACCCCTGGTTTCCCCTGAGAGTCACTGATGGGGACCATTTCCACAGTGGTCTCTCAGTATTTGTGCACCTTTGTGACAGTGCGTCAGACTCACCTCTTTCTCAATACATCTGAGCATATTCCTTGTTGTTCATCTTATGTGTGTATAAAATCATCAAGGTAGAGATAGTTTCCCAAGAAGTTATATTTTCTTAGTGTTGGTCAGGAAGTCTCTCCACCTTCTCTAGTTAAAACAGATCTTAAGGTTTTTCCACAAATAAAAGATATCAAACTTTAAGACTGCCATGGTATCTTTTGGGTTCTGCATTTTTTCCTGTATGTACAAAAAAATTCATGAATAATTTATCTTTAAAAATATAAAAATATTTCCTCCCCTGGCTCAGTATTCTCCTTGATGTATCCCATTATTATGTTGATTTTTTTTTTTTTTTCTCTGACTGAGGCAGCATCTTGGCTTTTCATTATACTTAAGACCATTTCACATCCCTATATGCAAACCTGAAAACAAGTGCGAACATATATTTTGGGAAGTCTGATAAACCTAAAGCTATTTTTTTGTTTTCATTTAGTTTTCCCATGTATCAAAAGGAACAGGGCCATGAACACTTCTTATGGAGTATTGTTGTGTATATATATATATATATATATATATATATATATATATATATATATATATAATATAGTTGCTATAACACCATTGATACGTTGTTGCCTTCCACTAACAGAACCTGGCAAGATCATGGTCATAGATAGGTGGTTGTTGATGCTCAGTGTTCCTGTGCAGTAGAAGCTGCGTTTGGGATGAGAAGGACCTCCTCACTGTCTCAGCTTTCTTTCTTACCTACATTTTGTGAGGCTAGCACTTGAGAGATTGTCCCGTACCCAGGTCTCCTAAGTTTTGATGCTGACCTTGCATGAGTTGAAGGTGCAATGAGTGTTACATGGGTTACCCAGCATCAAAGAGATGGGTTTGAGACTGATCGCCCATATTCTCAGCTGCAGCACTTGAGTAAAGCCTTCTTTGCTGGCAATGCTCATTGTCTCAATGATTGGGTTTCCGTGTGGACAGACATAGGACCTAGACTAAACCCGTGATGTTTTGGTAACAGATTCATTTTAATAAAGGATGGCAGAATGAAGCTACGTCACTCCTGAAAGTTGTTCATAAAAAGGATAGCACTTCCATGTGACTTCTCATCCTCTTAGGTATGGTGCTATGTAAGCCCTGAGCTTAATGTAAGACACATGAAGTCTCCATGCTGGATAAAACACATGTAGAGACCATATAATAAATATCATTCCAGAGCTTTAGCTGTCATGGTCCTTAACTCTCTGACTTTTCCCAACACTTAACACCAGACTTGTAAATGAGTATCTTTGTTGAGATGATTTCACCCTATCGTGTTTGGCTATCCATCCAAAAGATAAGGGGCCAAGTGGAGTAGAAAAAAGTCTTCCCTGCTGTTTCCTGCCCTAATTAATGCCTCACACAATCTGTGAGCATAATCAATAATTGCCAAGTTGGTCCACACTAGAAATTAGATTTTTCTGAATTCCTCTCTCATGTCTTCACCAAAATAGAAAAGTGAATAAGAGCTAAAAGTCAGAAATAAAGAAGAGGTCATTATTATCAAAAATCTCAGAAACTAAACAGATTGAGAAAAAGACATAGAGGCATCCAGTATGGTCCAAAATCTAAATAATCTTTCAAAATACTTATCCTGGCAGCCAACAGTGGACACAATCCACTAGCCAAGCCCTTTACTCAAATTGCTTCAATGACAGCAACTTACATAGATGAACCCAGCAGTTTTCATTTCAGGATTTTATTTGGAGAGACAGACGTAAACAGATTGCATAATTTGTCTTAAAACTCATGTCTGCCCAACTACTGCAGTGACTCAGGCTTTTGTTTACATTTTTTTCTTCCAATAAATAAATGAGTTTTTTCTCTTTATCTTCCAATTCTAATCTTTCTGACTTTCACTTAGCAATTCTTTCCACATTTGTTTAAGTTCAAATTTCAGTAGTAAACCTGAGAGCCATACAAAAATTTTAATAGTTCTAATATTCTAATTAAACACTGGATAATACAAGTAAAATTTTGACTTACTATATAAAATATCAATAGCAAATATAGCTTTTAACTCTCTTGCTAATATTAGAAGATAAATAATTGGGTAAGAGACTTTGAACATAATAAATCCACAAAGTAAACAAGACATATTTAATCTTCTGTGATTTTCATGCATGTAGATTAGGGGTCAGAAATTTTTTATGGGAACAAATAGTAAATATTTATAATATTTAAATATGAACCATATGTCTTTCTTACAACTACTCAACTCTACTGATGCAGTGTAAAATTAGTCACAGATAATACATACATAAGTGACTTTGTCTGTGTTCCAGTAAAACTTTATTTATAGAGAACAGTTTGTAGACTAGAAAAGTCTATAAACTGCAGTTTGCTAAATCATGGTCTGTAGAATTACACTCTATTGTTAGACTGTACTCTATTTCAACATATACAATTGCTAGTTATAAAATACATATTTTATTATACTTTTCTACCTTAATTTTTCATTACTTAATTTTTATCACACATGTATCTTCCTTCTAACACTAAATATCTTAGATACTATGCTTCAGCTTTTCAAATACTCAATCCATTTTCAATTAATATCTAATTCCACATGTTTATTCCCAAATTATTTTGACTTATATTCTCACCTTCTCTTGTGCATCAGCTAATCATGTCATATATCCTCTTGTATTCACGATGGGAATCTGGTAAATACGTGGGATCTCTTCATGCTAAAGTGAGAAGAGAAACAGTGGCACATGAAATACAGCTGATGGAGCCCCGCAGTACAGAAACTTAGTTTGTCAAATAAATGTAAGGATTTATTCCCTTTGCTTCATGCTAGTAATATAGTACTTAGGACTGAGTAACAAAAAGAATAAATGAAACTAATATTTAAAGGGCCTGAAGAATTTGTTGAAATTTATATTTTGTGGACTTCACCTTTTTCAGGAGATGGGATCTTAGATTTATTTGGTGGCTCTTGAAAGAAAATAAATTACTGTGATATTCCTGAAACATTTGTAATTGTATCTCCAGGCAGATATAAAACCTCTTTTCCATAAAGTTTTGCATTCTGTAGCTGATGTTGTCTATTAAAGTCAGAGTAAACACTACTGACAGCCAGCTGTTCCTTTCTTATGCCATATCCAAACTGCTTAAAGTGGATTACTTGTTGGTTTAAATTCACACATATGTATGCCAGTCAAAACAAAAATATTTATCAGCAAATATTATGTGAGTTTTAAATAGTATATTTCTCTGAAGGGAGAATTACTCTTGCAGTTACAAAATTCATTCTTTTTATACAAGTTAAAATATTATAAAATATTTATATCACTGTGTTAAGACTTCGAACAGTGACTGATTAGGAAGACTTTTTTCCTTCTTATGACATGACATTATTAAAAATTTTAAAGCACTATCGGCTCCAGCTGTTGGTTGTCTACATATACTGAGAATACATTTTAGACATTTAAAGTGAATGTCAGCCTTCTTCCTAAGTGAATAATATTTTCCACTTGAAAATTAATTCAGGAAGTCATTCTGAATTTAAGTTTCAATGAGATACATGGATACATTTTATCATCCTCAAGTACCTCAAAATGACATGCATATTTGGGCACGTAACTGTTCTTCTGGTAGTAAAGAGGTATAAGAATATCAACATATTAAAAAATGAAAACATGAGCCAAAATGAGTATGGATAGAAGAATGATTGCTATGATGTTAGTATAAAAAAAACTTTCAATTTTTTTTTTTTTTACTTCATCTTATAGTAACAAAGAAACAACAGCTTGAGAAGTTTTAATTTTATTTTGATAACCTGAACTTTAAAAATTGTTGTTTTTGAATTGTAAGATTTTAAATGTTAGACAGACAATATTCATGTCACATGCAGAAAGGCATTGAATAAAATGTATAAGAAATAACATCAGAAACATGTTTTGAAATTAATTCATAAATAATATTTTGTGACGAATAAAAGTAATGTAAACCAAAATTTTCTATTATGTTTCTAATAACGACTTGTGATCCTGTGGTCCAAGACAGTTGCAATTTTTTTTTGTCAGTGTCATGATGTCATCAAATTTTCCAAAAGTATTTGCTAAAAAACAATTGTCTTTCATTATGCCATTTGTGAAAGCCCTAATAAATTTTTTGTGCTTGCTTGATTTTGTTGTTTACATGTCTTTTTCCTTCAAACTATTATTGAAGCACAAATCCAAGCCTTTGAAATATGTTCAACTAGCAAATAGGCCTGGGCTAGCCTAGGAGAAAATTAATAGGTCATATTTCTAATTATCTTTATACAACATTCATGTTAAAATAGAATGCAGTTTCAGAAGAGCAAATAGCAAAAACACTTAACCTTTCTGTATCTTTAGTTTTATTATTTGTAAAATCTCTTCTATCTTGAAAATTTTATTATTTCAGTTTTGGGAAAAGTCTAGCAAATGAACCATAAAAGCAATACTGCATTGATTGGGATATTGGATTGAATAGGATGTAATGAGCATTAGTGATACCT